CGTTGCAAACGAAATCCCACATGCCAATTTATCTGTTTGCATAAGTTTCATATTCTGGTTAAACGTTTCCTCGATAGAAAATTCCTGTCAATAGTATCTCTTATAAATTTTCTATTCCTCAGTTTCCTTCGATGTGTCAAAGAGTGAAAATCCAGCTGTACGACTGGTGAGTAAATAAGCTAAGTATAGAGCCGCATTCTGTGGGCTGTACTTTAGGCCTCTTCCGCACCGATATTTTTTGTCTATTATCTACATTGAAACATCCGAAAACACTCATATAAAATGGAGTCTTTCGAAAGCAGTTTCGAAGGCCCCATACCAACCTGTGCGTTTTCGTTCGAAGGTACATATTTTTTGAAGCGTTTTTTGCAAATCATCCAAGCTGAAACGCAAACGACGCTGATCAAAATGGGTTACTTATACTGGCAATACAATATTGAATACATTCTTTGCTGAAAATACAATTACTTAGTTTGCAGGCTACTCACACTACTAACAATAACACACTCTACTTAAAATATATTATCTCCGCTGTATAGACATTCAACGTCCGCCTTAACAAATCTGAGTGGTTCCTGGTTACTATCGTTCATAAATTATTTTAAATTGAAAATCTTTCAGTTTAGCTTCCTTAGAAATGTTTTTCAGTGATTTTAAGATTTTAATCCATGGCGTCTTTCTTCAATGAGAGCTTTTCGCCCCACCGTTTAGGGCCCGTTTAATTTGTTCGCCGAGGTGAATCTTAACTTTAGGTCAATTAAAGAAGTCCTTTGACTTAGCCTTGAACCGATTAACTTGGATCGAATCGTTTAGGGAAAGATATTATCATTTCAAGTACAGAATGATTTGTTGATGGTGTCGTATCATTTGGCTAGAGACCATGAGCACGTTTCGAAATGGTGCAAACTTGATAACAATGTAAAAAGATTTGATTCACAGTAATATTTATCACGGAACTCACGGAATATTAAACGATTGCCACTTTCATTCAATTGGTCATTAGTAGATAGCATGCCCTTTTTAAACCATTCACGAAGGAAGATGGGTTGCCCGTCCGACCCATCACTACATCTTTGCTATTAAACAATATTACCTCCTGCTAAGTAGTAGAAAGCAGCAGAATAGCGAAGAATACATCGTCAGGTTCTTGGGAATGTTGATGACAAGTTCGTATTTTATTCCTTCAGGGATCGTCTAAATGATGATGATTGTATTGGAACTACTTTTCTTTCTCTTCCCTCGATGTCTGGTCAAGGAGAAGAAGGTTACATGATATAATCGGCATGAAATGTTAAAAATCTCATTATTTTCCTTAAGCTTTTCGTTTTTTATCAGTCCATTTGCCCCATTCACTATTTTATCTGTAATTAATGAGCGAATAATTTGGCAATATTCAGGATTTCTTCCGACGTTTGGTCCTTGCTGGTTGAATTTTTATGGTTCCCCGAGGGAGTTTTCTGAGCTTCCAGATGAGTATGAAGATCTAAATGGTGGAAAGGTGCTTGACATTATTGATATACTTCAGTTTGTGTTATGTATGGTCAATTAGTGTCTGGCGACAAACAGATTAGAACACTGGCTAATAGTTTTTTCTAAAGAATGTCTCTTTCAGAATATAACAGTTTTAAATTGCAATTACTTCGACTGCTAATTTCCCAAAAAGGGGCTGGCGTAGGAATCAACATGTACAGTTTTACTTAATATTCGCGCTGAAAAAAAAAACCCTGTTTTGTTTACTTTAAATCACGTTCTAATTTGTAGCCGCGTCAAAAAATTTTGCAAGTTAAAACAATTATTAATAAAGATGAGATATTAATTAACACTTTTATTTTACAGGGGGAGGGAGTGGCGTATAGAGGACGATTACTGGTGGAGTTGGAGAGCAAGTTGGGTGAAGAGATTGACAAGGAACTGGAAGTTATGAAAGGACCGGAACTTATTCGAGTGCAGGTATTACAGAGTTATAGTCTCATTGTCAGGGCGAGGGTAGTCCTTCTAAGGACTATTGTCGGTCATGGCGACTGACGTTTCGACAACTTCAAAGGAAGTCATCGTCGGAATCGAGAGATGATGACTTTCGCTGAGGTTGTCGGCAAAATGGCGGTCACCTCGACCGGCAATAGTCCCAGGGTTCCATAAGGACTACTCTCATCCCTGGCAATCAGACTACAGCTCTGCAATAGCAGGACTACCTTGACCCAGACAATCAAAGAAATGTGATCATAAATGTTTGTTATAGTAACACGTGCATGTACAATCAGGTACCGTATTTAGAGTGTCAGTATCAGAGGATTCCTACTCTCTTTTAGCTACTTTTCTCGCAAACCGATATCTCAGACTTCGGAAATTGCGATTAGTGCTTTTGTCTAATATTTTTTTACAGTCGTAGAACCAAATGAAAACCTTACACATATCAAAGGGATGATAACTTCAGAGTGTATAAATGTGTACATACATACACGTGTGCTGAGGCATTGATATCTTTGTTTTTCCTTTAGCCATTTCTGAGCCGCAGCAAATACAAGTTGTTCGCTTGTTTTTATGAAGCTTCTATGGTGTTTGATGTAGACGGGCCTATTGAATTTGAAGTCAGCATCGGTGAGAATTTCATTTATGTTGGTGGGATCTAGCAATAATTCTTCAAGTTTCTTCTCCATCATGTGAACGTATTATAGTCCACCGCCTGGTTAGCTTATGTTGTAGAGAGCTGGAGTGCTGTGCGGGAGGTGGAGAGTTCATCCTCCAGACCGAACCAACACACAGGGTCGGCATAACCTGGGCTTAACCATAACATGCTTGAAGACAAATTAAATTTCCGAAATTACGTTTAGAGCTTTCCACAAACCTGTTAATGATCATGAGATTGCGCAAAATTTTGCTCAAAGTAGCTCGTTTTGCATAAAGTGTTCTGTTAAAAACACTGTATAAAGCGCAGCGCGCTTTTAAAGCTGAATTTACTCGTTTCATTTTACGAATGACTAACAACAAACGTAAAGCACGTGCTCCATCCAAGCAAGAAGTCCAGAGTAGGGAACGTAGCTCCCGGTGTTGTGGTCTGACCTTCATTCTGATATTGGGGGCATATGGAAAAAATTTCTTCAAAAACTGTAAACTGCTCAATGCAGTCTGGCCAAAATCTCCTGCTAAATGTTGTAAATTAAGTTAGAAGAGCCACACAATGGAGATTTCATACAGATACTGTACTGTGCTGTGCTGTGCTACTGTAAGGAGAAAAAAAAAAACAGTTGAGATTTTTATGATCTTTGATAGATCTTCGGTCGGCATAACCTGAAATTAATTATAACATATTTGAAGGCAGTTACAAATTTCCGAAATTCCTTTTAGATTCTTTCCACCAACCTATTAATGACCAAGAAATTGCGCAAAGTTTCGCGGCTTAAAGTATAACTCGTTTTGCAAAAAAGTTACTCAAACGTGTTCCGTTATTAAAACAATTTATAAAGCAAAGCTCTCTATTAATCATCGGTCGGCATAACCTGGGCTTAACCATAACATGCTTGAAGACAAATTAAGTTTCCGAAATTACGTTTAGAGCTTTCCACAAACCTGTTAATGATCATGAGATTGCGCAAAATTTTGCTCAAAGTAGCTCGTTTTGCATAAAGTGTTCTGTTAAAAACACTTTATAAAGCGCAGCGCGCTTTTAAAGCTGAATTTACTCGTTTCATTTTACGAATGACTAACAACAAACGTAAAGTACGTGCTCCATCCAAGCAATAAGTCCAAGCAATAACAGCTATCTTGACTGTATACCAGATTTACATGGATTAGACTGACATGAAATTAAAATCCTTGTTTGGAGATTACTAATTGGTGAAAATGTTACTTTGTAGGTAACTATGGGAACATGATGGATGAGTCAGTGGCACCTTCCAACACGCCCCCTTGTAATGCAGTGTATGATGGGACCAACTATTACTATCTTCCTTGGAGCAGTGAAAAGCCTTGTGTGTGCGTGGAAAGCTATTGGGAGAACATTTCCTTTAGACTGGAACCCTTAAATGCCCTACTGAGGATTATCGATCGCGTGGTAAGGCCAACTGCTGCTTTAAACGCCTCTGTGTGAGCTTTGCTTTGGCGTTGACAGTAAAAGGATTCCCTTTCAATGGAGCAAAAATTTCGAAGATAATTTGGGTTTTATCAACTGAGTTGATAATGTAAACTGGCAA